CCTTGGACTTCTAGAACCAGAGAGAGAACTTTCTGTGGTTGAAATCCCCCGTCTGTGGTGTTTTCTAGCTGGCTAAGACCCACAGTAACTACCGTGGCACAATGATTCAAAGACATCTTGACCCGTGTGTTGCTTTAGCCTTTTTGGCTTTGGAAACAGATGACCGAGGTGCACACCTAAGGTCACCTAGGAGGGAGTCTTGCACTCAGCCCCACCTGCCCCTCCACCCCTCCCTGCCTAGCGCTGCACACACCCTCCGGAACAGGAGGGGCCTTGGTCTAGGACTCTAGGCCCTGGCACCGGCTCACTGCCGTGTTGAGACGGAGAAGCCTGTTGCTCTCTGAGAAGGTGTGCGTGTGTGTGCACATGTGAGAGTCCATGTGTGTGTGAGGTGGTTGAAGGAGTTTGGGGGGCAGGGCTGGGATGGTGGTGGGAGAGGAGCTCCAAGGTCAGATGGGACAGGAGAGGCCAGAACAAAGGCAATGTTTTGGTCTGGAGAGAAGCATGTTGTGCTAGGGGCAGGGACCGCAGCATAAAAAAATTACTGATTGTTTTAAAGAAACAAAGTGGTATGATTGAACCCAGCCAGGTGTGACCCCGTTTTCCTCCTGAACTTTTTACCCTGCCAGTTAATGCTTTGTAGTTTTTGCAAATAAAAGCTTTGCTGCCCTCTCAGTCGGTACTGCAGCTGCGAGGCTCCCTTGTGAGGAGGTATGCGCTGTAGTCGCTGGCCAACTTAATAAATTTAAATTCTGAGTCGGTGGTCTATCTCGCTGATTGAACCCATAACAATGTGACTTTGCCAAGGGTCAAGGGTGTGTATGTGTTTGTGTCAAGGGCAGATCTGCGGTTCCAAAGGGGCCGTGCCCAGGGCTTCAGGCCATGCTGACCACGTACCCCACAGAAACTCCATTGCTCTAAACGTGGAGACCGGGACAAGGGAGAGGAAACCTCTGAAGGCACAAAGGCCAGGCCAACTCCCAGCACAGCCCCATCAGCTGTGGCCTAGACACGACCTCGCTTCTCTGAGCCTCTGCTTCTCAGTCTGCCAGCTGGGCATTTGCCATGGGGTTTGCCGTGGGGTTTGCCATGGGGTTTGCCATGGGGTTTGCCGTGGGGCTTGCTGTGGGTTTGCCGTGGGGTTTGCTGAGCCACTGCTCACCGAAGCAGGTTTGTATGATCTGAGGTGAAGGGGATTCTAGAGAGCCTATGGGTGAACATGGGTTTTATATTAATGTGTATTAAAATTATAAGAACATTAAAGCTGTGAGGTCACAGATATTGTTTAGAACAAAAATAAAGCGGGCGTTAGAATTTTAAAAGCGGCTCACCTCTAAAAGGAAATATCAAGTAAATAACAGCAGGTGGTGCACTCACATGGACAATTAAGAAGATGGCACTTGACAATATGGCTTGGGAAATGGAGAGCTAGACTAGTTTTCATGAAGCTCTGGCATGGCATAGGTTCCGTGGAAGTGTGAGGTGTGGGGTCACATGCCCAGCCACACACACACGTACACATCACCTCTCTGCCCCCCACCCCCAGGGCCTGTCATCAAGGACATTTTCTGTATCCATGATCTGATTTGATTTTCAGGATAAAACTGAGATTGGTTACAAAAATCATCTGGTAGAAGAGGAGACTAAGGTTCAGAGAGGACCCCTGACTTGCCCGAGGCTACAGCAAGGGCACAGACAGCTTGTCCAGCACATGCGGTCTTCCTCCTTGCCTGGTGCCCGCACCCCACCCACGTGGACCCACACCCCCGCCCTTGAATTGGGAAGCACTGAGCACATTTCCATCCTGATCACCCTCACTGCCTGGGGATCCCTCCTCCTGGAAGCCCCAACGGGTGCAGTAGTGATGGTAGCGCCCCCAGGCGACGGCCGCGCTGCCGCAGATGCTGGCCAGAGCAGCTGCGAAGCCCTGGCAGCCGTGAGCCTGGCAGCCACCGGAGCCATAGGGCCAGCGCCTGCGGAGACATGGGCACAGGGACCCTCCCTTGGCCTCTGCACCAGCCCCTGCCCAGGAGCAGCGTGGAGGCCCTTCCTTGACATCAGCCCATCAGCCCAGCTCCTCAGGTGAGGCCGGTATGATCTGTTTTTCCTATGAGGTCCCTTGGGGGGTGGGGGGCAGGCTCAGGCTCAGCCCCACGGCTGGAACGAAGGTCTCTGTGTGGTCAGGAGCCTCCATTACAGTAAATGGAGCACCTGGTTGGAAAGAGAGCTTATACCTTTATTCCATAGATGGGGAAGCTGAGGCTGAGAGAAGATAAGGTGCTGAGCCAAGGTCACAGAGCCGATGAAGGCAAAGTCAGAGGGAACCCCAGGCCTCCCAGCTCATGGCCTCGGGAGCCAAACAAGGGTAGAGCTTCAGCAGAAGCAGGAGGAGGTCCCAGCCAGGAGCCCTCACTGGCTTGGACCCAGGCCATTCACACCAGGGGGGGTCGGAGTAGCCTCCACCTGCAGGAGCCAGGGCTCAGTCCCCCTAAGACAGTGGTTCTCAACCTTCCTAATGCCGCGGCCCTTTAATACAGTTCCTCATGTTGTGGTGACCCCAACCATAAAATTATTTTTGTTGCTACTTCATAACTGTCATTTTGCTACTGTTATGAATCATAATGTAAATATCTGATATGCAGGATGTATTTTCATTGTTACAAATTGAACATAATTAAAGCATAGTGATTAATCATAAAAACAATATGTAATTATATATGTGTTTTCCAATAGTCTTAGGCGACCCCTGTGAAAGGGTCATTCGACCCCCAAAGGGGTCGCGACCCACAGGTTGAGAACCGCTGCCCTAAGAGATCTTGGAAACACCCACTGGGCCGAGTGGGAAGACCCGGATTGGCTAGAAGGAGGCTCAGGCCCTGTGCGGTCCGGTTTGCTTCCACAAACATAATGTAGGGCTTCCCAGGGACCAGTGATGGTGTGAAGCTGTTCACAGGTAACAGCAGTCACACTTCCAACCAGCACGTGAGTTAGGCAATAAGACCCAGTTTAGAGAGGAAGCCAAGAGGTGGGAACTAATGCAGCCAAGATTCAAACGTGGGAGCCGGTGGCAGGGCCCGCTCTCCACCCGGCAGCCGCTGCAGTCAGGGGGACAGCTCCTGTGCTCCAGGAACTGCTGCCGGTCTAGGGTTGGATCCAGCCCAGCTCAGCCTGCTCCCCCGCCCCCCTGCCCACAGCCTGCGTCAGTTTTCTGTTGGTAGGAGAATGCTCAGTGCCCAGAGGTCAGGCCGGGGGCAGGACCCAGAGGTCAGGGCCCAGGGAGGGCAGTACCGGAGGAGGCTGGCCGTAGCTGCGGCGAGGGCGTTCAGGCTGACCCCGCTGTCCGCCAGAGCCAGGCTCAGCACCAGCAGGTGGCTCGGGGTCCGGAGCTCCGGGCTCTTGCAGAAGGAGAAGATGGTCAGGCCATTGAGGCTGAGGCCGGCGAGAGCTGAAAGGGAGGTAGGGGCTGGCAGAGGGGGCTTGTGAGGCTGCCTGGGTCAGAGCCAGGAGTGTGGGCGGGGCGGAGCCTAAACAGCCCTCTACCCGCCCCCCCCGCCCCAAACCCTCACACTCAGCAACTCTCAGTGAAGCTCGTCCAACACCCGCAGGAGGGCTGGCCTCACAGACGAAGCCATGCGAGCACCCTGCTCGCCATATGGCCCCTGAACAAGAAGACAGCGAGGAAGGAAACCAGGCCAGGCCGGCGCCCCTCCAAGCAGGCCAGCCGTCACACGGACAGCCCCCCGCAGTGCCCCGCCAACCAGCCCAGCCGGCGCACGCTGCGCTTTGCAGGTCCTCTCCTGGTCTTCACTGGGCACTGTCCTCCCGACGGGGAACTGAGGCGCAGAGACCCAGCTAACCTACCCTAGTAAGTGGTGCCACTGGGAGTGGGGCTCAGGTTTCTCCAGTTCCAGTGCCATCTCTGCGCGGGGAGCCCGCCGGGGAGCCCGCCAGGGAGCGGCTCTGGAGAGGAGGCTGCTGCAGCACTGGGTGGGCGGGGCAGGCAGACCTGACCTTGAAGTTGGCTGGTCACTCCCTACCCATGCTAAGCCGCAGCTTCTCCCATCTAAGTGAGAAACGGGGAAGCATCCTGCCTTCAAAACTGAGCACTTACTAGGAAGACAGGGTGAGAGAGCCTTCTGGAAAGAGGAGCAGCGCGTGCAAAGACGGGCCGTGGTGCAATGTCAAGGCGTGTTCAGGGCACAGGGGAGCTGGGCTGCAGCTTCCCAGGAGAGAGGAAGCGTGGCCGGGCCACCAGTGGAGTGTGCCCACAACACTGGCGACTCTCGTTGGGTGAGAAAATGTGCAGATTATTTCCGATCAAGGGTTCTCCCCACTGGTCTCGTCTGGCTGGCCCGCAGCCCCAGCTCTGGCCTCAGTGAGCACCGTGGGGATACGGGGTGAGGCTGGCACCTCATGGGCCCCGTCGCCCAGCCATGGGAATGCTTAGGGTGGTGGCAGGAATGGGGTGCGGAGAGGTGTCTGTCTCAGCTGGTGCTTTATGACCCCTTTGCCCCCACACACCCAGGAGACGGGGCCCCGAGGGCCAGAGCTCGACTCGGTTGCAAGCACACGGTGTGGCAGTGCTGTCTCCAGCGCCTACCGGGGCCGGATCGTACAGCTTCGCAGCACCTCCGGGGAGTAAGCCGTTTCCGTGCTGGAGGGACAGTGCAAAGGCTTGCAGCTGGTGTTTGGTTGCGCCCTGGTCGATGCCCCCTCTCAGAGGCCCTCCTCCCTGACCCTCTGCTGGCTCCTCCGTCTCAGCTCCCAGACTGCAAGTTGCATCTCCCCAATGCAGCCACCCAAAGCCCCGGGGACCCAGCACAGAGGGGGCTGGGGACCTCTCCTTGCCAGCCTCAGAACCGCAACCTGACTCTGGGCGACCAATGGGCCCCGCTCTGCCCGGGCGCCTGCTCACCTTCCACCAGCAGCACCACCCCTACAGCCAGCACCTCCAGCTCCCCAAAGCCTGTGGGCAGGGACCCGGCCTCTGCCATCTCGCTTCCCCTGGCCCAGCGCTTCTCTGGCTCCTGAAAAACAGGCCCCTTCCTTTTAAAGGGCCAGTGGACACATGAGGGCCCATGGCGGGGATTATGCTGGACCTTGGGCTCCTTCTTGCTGCCCCTCCTCCCGCAGTGTCCTCTGGGCTAGAGCAGAAGGAACGTCCCCGCTGCACAGGGCAGCCCTTGTGAGCCAGCCCAGCAGGGGGATTAGGACCGGACTCGCAGCTGAGCAGCTGAGCCGAATTAGAAGAGTTGCATAACCAGGGAGGGAGGGGAGCAAAAGGAGGGGTTTGAAGCTGTAGCTGTGCCTGAGAACTGGTTAGGAGCCAGGTCCTGGTGTGTTCGTTGGTGCTGACAAGCTGAGCGCCTGAGCATGTGTGTGCACATGTGTCCACATGATCACCACATGTGTGTACTCATAAGTGGGGGAAAGGATGGTGGCTAGGAAGCCACCTTTTGTCATAGAAAGAATACCAGCTGGGGTCAGAGACTCGAGTTCTGGTTCTGAGTCTGCCATCACCTAGCTGTGTGCCCTGGGGTGGGCCCACTGGGGGCTCTTCTTCGCCTTTGCAATGTGGGCATCTTTCCTCAGGGCCTGTGCAGGTCTTGGGTAGAAGACGCTATGGTGCATGCGGTGTCGGGGCGGGGGGCGGGGGGAGGGGAACGTCCCGACGCCCACGGAGCCCTTCAGCTCCCCAAGTATCAGTCTCCCAGGGCTTGGCCCACAACCACTATGAGCTCTGGCTTCTGCAATGAGGTCCTGGTACAATTTACACACTGGCTCATGGTGAAGTTTACAGCAGGAAACATCGATCTGGAGCAACTCTACTCATTTCAGGTAAAGAGTGCTTTCAGCAACACAGCTCATGCCCACTGGTGCTCGCTAAAGCCAGGCATACTCCCAGGGGATGGTTCCTGCCACAACTCAGACTAACTCCCAGGGGATGGTTCCTGCCACAACTCAGATACCGCCACCCTTGCAGAGGGACCTGTTCTAGAGGGTCGGCCTAGGCTCTGCTCAGAAGGCAGTGCTCCGCCTGGCTGTCCATGGCAGGCGGGAGGCAGCTGCTTGCCGGGTGCCCAGAGGCTCATGAGCCCCTGGGAGGGCATTTGGAGGTCTCTCCAAACCTCTGCGTCTCCCCACTCCTCCATGAGCAGGTACTTGCAAGTGCCAACAAAATGGGGTCTTGATGACTCCTAAGAGAGCTTCTGCTTCGCGGGCTGTCGAGGTCTGGGGAACTTGGGTTGTTCAATTTTCATAAACACCCCGAGCAAAGTAACTTTACTTCCCTTTGACAAATGAGGACACAGAGGCCAAGAGGAATCATGTGACTTATCAAAGGCCGCAGCCCTGAATGGAAGCGCTGGGATTTGAACCAGGCAGTGTGGTCCTGAGCTTGGGCTCTTCCTCACGCCTTCACTGTCCTCACCTCGTGGCGTCTGCACCACAACACACATCACAGAGAAGAACCTCCACGGCCAGCACCGACGCCAGGGCCTGTCTTGTCTCCTGTAAGCCAGGCGCCTGGTGGTCTCTGCTGCCCATGGCCGGGCTGACCTTGGGGTTCTGCAGATGGGTGGCCAGCCAGCTGGCCCAGCTACGCTTGCCCTGTCCACCCACCTGCCCCACCTTGCCAAGCTCGGCCTCTCTGGGCCTGTGGCTGTTGTTACAGAGGGGACCCCCACCCATACTCTCAGGATGGGTTGATTCCAGGGAGCAATAAGCCGCCGAGTACTGTGACTGGCTGAGCTCCTTCCTTAATCCCCGTTATGTCCTGTTTATCTGATGGCCTCAGGCAGGGGGGTGGAGCAGGCAGGACAGATTGGGCCAGGCCAGGCCCCTGCCTGGGTTGCAGCGGAGCCTGGAGCCATGAGGGTGGCGCTGGGCATGCTCTGGCTTCTGGCCCTCAGGCCCCCACCCCAGGCCTGGAGCTCCTGTCCGCCTCAGTGCAGCTGCAGCCTCCAGGTCCTGGGCGATGGCAGCATGGCCAGGTAAGGCGCCAGGTGTGTGGGATGGCATCCCAGTCCCCAGCTCCACCAGCTGGCTGGGGTGGGAGGGTTGGATGCAGGGCTCAGAGAGTGGCCAGGTGAGACCTCCATTTCCCAGGACCTTGAGGCTGATCTGTGCTGAATTATTGTCTGGCCAGCAAGGCATGGCTCTGCCTCAGAGGTACCAGGCACCTCTGCAGGCGGAGTAGGGTGGGGCACAGGTGTGCAGCCCCAGGAAACCCTTCCCAAATCCTCCTCCAGGACTTCTCCCCTTTACCTCTTCCTCCCTCCCTCCTCCCTCC